GAGGAGATAGGCAGGTCTTAGCTATTGTCACCTCACTCGATTTCTCTCCAACCTCTTCTATTTCACCCGATGTACTATCCCACGTCCCATGCAATATATCTCCTGATCCTTCATATCGACCCTGCAGGAAGGTGCATGGTGAGGATGAAAAGCACATATCGTGCCAGTGCATGATGTACCTATTGTGGTGAAACGTGGAGCGTATCTTTGCGAGAGGTGACCGTGAGCACAACGGCAAGGCGTGGGCATAAGCGCGGAACGTACTGTTTGAGAGGTGGGCGGCCACGGAATGAGCGCAGTTCCAAGTCGAGTTATTCGTGATCTTGCTGCGACGGTGGTCAGCAGCCGGCAGAAGCTGGGGCGTGCGTCGCATACCAGGATCGAGCACGGGCACATCATGAAATGAGCAGTATAGCATTTGTGTCGAGTCTGCGAGGGGCGTTCGGTGGTTGTCAGCGTTCACCAGAGTCTGAGTGGATCGCATTACGTACTGGCCAGAACAAACATGTTCGTCGAAGGCAGTGATGGTCCATGGAGGGCAGACGGCGTAGAATCTGGGAAGAGAAATCGGAAAGTCCGAGAGGCGCGCTGATCGGAGCTCATGCGACGCGAATTGGCGGGTTGCAAACGCGTGTAGCCAAGATTGGGAGGTGTCTGTGCAGGAAATGGATGTGAGTGCAGACGGAACGTGATGACGGAAGAGGCTCACTAGAAACCAGGCAGACATAGGTGGAGCTGGCAGCGTGCACGCCGCGGGCTGACCTGCGCTTGACGTTCGATGCATCCCTGCGAGATACAAGTGTCAGTACAAAAAGAGATGGAAGCACACTCGCCGTGTGCAAGAGTCCCCATCGGGCGAGAGGCACGTTCAGAAAGGGCAGATATCGCTAGGCTGAGGGAAGGGAGAGCGGGTGGGAGGAGGGAATGCAGGCGGGGTTGGCTGGCTTGCATCGCCCTGCTCGTCCATCCTTTTATGCCTGCTCTCTCACCGAGTGGGCTGTCCGTCCCTGAGTGCACGGCGTCCCGTCGGACAGCTGCACTTGCACGGCCAAGGGTGTCAGCGAGCACTGGCACCGTGGGCTCGGCGTGCGTCGCACCCTAGAAGACGTCGAAGCCGAAGCGTGCGCGGGAGTTGGGTGGGCTGGACCTGTGGCATGCGTCTGTTGAGAACGCGTGGTGATGCCGGAGTAGGTTGTTGAGAATGAATGACTTCTGGGGCGCTGGAGCGGCGGACATTTGGAAGGCGGCGAAGGTGTCCGGGTCTGGTGATCTTGCTGAGTGGATTACCAGCCTGCGACTCTGCCTCTCTTGAGAACGAGCGTGGCCGGCCGGTGTAGGTTGAACGTACATGCGATGTCAGTGATCTGTGCAGAGCATGACTCAAGAATATGAGTATGGCGTCCTGAACATGCGGTGATCACCGCAGAACGACGTCTGGCCCTCGTACAAGCAATTGACAACTTCTTTGATGAAACTCATGGAGCTTCATGCCGAAATGACGCGATTCTGGTTTCTGCGTTGAGAATGTCAGCATGCGGTCATGTCGTGGTGTACCCACAGCCCTCAAACTGCATCGGTATTCTCACAATGGATGGATCAGCCAGTGTCTGATAATGATGCCGCTGCTTCACATTTACCACGGTCTTCATAACGTTTATGCACATTTGCCGAGTCTAGGAAAATAAGATGGCCTGAGAGGCCTCTGTTGGGACTTTTGGGCATTGCCGGCATTGTACTGGACAAGACTGCGGCATCAGTTTTTGCAGAAGCAGAATTTGCAGAAGCGCAAGACGGAGAACAAAAGACCTCACCTCCTCTGGAGATGCTTCGCACACGTGTTGAAAGGGTCACCGCGAAGGATTGTCCTTTAGGGTGCGCAGGTCCAGCTGATAGCAGTTGATGAAATCCGAATCGC